GAGTGAAGTGATGTCATCTTTACAAGCCCACATATTATGTTGTCTAAGAAATGAGACGGAGGGCTGGAAACGCCTGACCTCTGAAGCTTTTCTTCTGTGAAATACTCGTACTGACCCTGGTTCCCCGAGGATTTACATCAAAACCATTTTGCTAATGGTTTGTTGGGATTTTAGCATTTACTCTCCAACTGAAGTTCAGATGACTGAAGCCGAGGCTCTGAAACACACTTCCCTGTAAAAATGGCCCGTCTTTAATTAGCAGGTAGAAACATCCAGCTGTGCGAACGAGACAAAGACAAGCTTTGGCACAAAACTCACTGAAGCTGAAGCTGGAAAGTCCCACTGCCAGCAAACTAAATCCTGCACGTTAGCATACCATCGTTATCTGTAAATACAGAGGCTGGGGTCATGGGAAGGTCACGGTCCACGACTTCTGAAAGGATTGATGACGGTGCTGACAGAGTGAAGGAAACACTACGATTCATTTTTCTCCTGACATTTTATATTTCAGCCTCGCAGCGACACAAGAGCAAGCATGACTCATCCCGTTAACCATGAAGTATGAACAGACAGCCCATCAAGTGCACGTTGAGATATTTCACAGGGTAATACAAAGATTTTGATCGGCCATGGGTACAACTGCAGAAGTCAGAGGACACTTTCAGACCCTGCGGGACGTGAACATCTGGACAATATTCAAACCAAGCTGCTGATGGAGCTCAGCTGCAAACCCTCGGACCCGGCCCTCCACTGCACAGGAGGAGAAATGGAGCCTTTGTGGCTGTTTTAAATGTCATTTGGAAATTTGAAATCAAATTGCACAGCCTGTCGTACGTTTGCTGTTCAGATTAAAGAGGATGACATGGGGTCACGATGTCCTGGCAGTGCACATGCTAGCAGGCTGCACATTAAAAACGAAGCCATTAACCAACCAAGACCAACAAAGGTACAAAATACTTGATCTGTGTTTTCCTGCGTGATTATATCTTCAGTCTGGAAGGAAAAATGAAAACATTTGAGTGAATTTTATTTCATGTTGCTTCCTAAATGTGATCGATTATAAATGTGTGTTAGTTATGGTGGTTTTCCTGCAGATGTTTCTACCACTCTACTCGGCTGTTCTGAAGCAGCTCATTTTGCACATGTTGCATCATAAATGCTGCCGCGTGTTCGCGGTCCAGCCTAGGACCAACTCTGCATCCACACAAATCCATTCAAGCATGCGCTCGACTCTCAGAGTTTTTCTGTTTTAGCATTAGCCCACACGTATCACAGTCTTCAGAAATCGAACTAAAAGGATTAGACTCATGCTCTCCATGGCAGAAACTTGGACTTGATGACTATAAACCCACCACTTCTCAGTGATTAAAATTCAAGAGTCGGTGCTGCAGTTTGGAGAGGTGATGGGGTAAAACAGAAGCAGCACGTGCGATGCGAATGAAGTGACTTTAGGTAAAGCCTTCACAGAATGCAAATGACAGCTTTTAAAACAGACGCTGGCAATAAAAATTTGCATGTTAGTGATTTTCCACCGTGAAGAGCTTCTATTTTTGAAAAATACAAGCTGTCTACTGCATTTTTTAATAAACTAAGTGTGGGCTGTGCTGTGTTTACGGCACAGTTTTAACGGATTTTTGGCCACTCATGAACAGACACAAACATAATAAAATTATCAGCTCCAATTATGTTGTTTTGCTTCCTCTCTTTACAGCTAATTTTACCTGTAGACAAAGCTGAATTGTCCTTTCAGGGCCTGGCTTCCTCGAGAGTCTTCAAAAGGGCAATTACAGTACAAGCTTTACGCTCCATCTCTTTCCAATGTGCTGCACCTCTTTAACCTCCTGAGACTTTTCAGGACGAGTGAAATTACGGCCACATTCCTGGAAACAGACTGAGATGATGAGTGCTGGATTACACAGGTGAGATGAGGCATGAAGGGATGCACCTGGCGTGCCACAGTGATTCCATACAGTGTGCACGGTGCTGAAACGATGCTGCTCTGTTGTGGAACATGTCCAGCAAACTGCTTCATTTCCCCACCAGCAGCTGGTGACGTGCACACGAGGCAGTGCGGGGATCAGCTGCTGGAGCTGAGCGCTGTTTTTAACCAGCAGCATCTCGGTCCTCCGAACTCCAGACGAGGGTTTTTACACGTAGGTAAAGCCTCGCTCCGAGCGATCGTTTGCTTATTTGCAGCCCAGCTGTCAGACGATTGGCTCGTTCCTTCATGACCTCTCACTGTCAGCCTGTCATTGACTTCCTGCTCTTTATGAACCACTTTTAAAGCTTCTTTTAGGCCGTGTGTTGCTCCTGTGCATTTAGTTAAGTAGTAAAAGACCATTTTAACCTTTTGTCCGGTCCGTGTTTGGGTTGCTGATATTTCTATTCTGTTGTTTCGGTTTCTTCTTGCTGTGTGCAGCAACTTCTAATTATGAGTTTGAAAGAAAGCCGTTATGTACCTATCATAATAACGGAGCTCTCTGTGCTCTGACAAATCTCACAGCCAGTTTGTAGACCATGTTGGTCGAGTCCAAGCAGACTTCTGTCAGCGTGCTCTGAGAAAAAAAACTGCGTTAAGCACGACCCCGGCATTCTCAATACAAATGAAATGTAAAGCGATTTCAGTTGTGAGGTGGGAAACGTTTTTAAATGATATGATGTATATCTGAATGCATTATTATGGTGTTGCTCAGCCTGTGAATCTGCCCAGAGCCTTGCCCTCTCGCGCTCTCTGTCTCCTCGTTCCTCCTCGAACACAAAATGAACTCATTTTGCTCTTAACCAAAATCAATCTGTGGACTTGACGAGCCTCAGAGCCACCTGCGCCTCGCGTTTTCCTCGTTTTCTCCTTCAGTCTGAGTAAGATTTCACTGAAGACTTGTTTCAGCAGCGCTCTAATTGGTCTGGAGTGCATTCCTGTACAAACTACAAACACACCAAAACGCTGTCTAATAAAATCTGCACTGTTGCTTCTTCCCACACTGCAGAGCGAGGACAGAAGTCATGACTAACTTTGAGAAGTTAGCCAAACACTCCCACACGCAGCCCACAGAATTACGTCAGAGAATGTTGATCATATCTACAGCATTTAGAGTAATGAATGAAAATATAGGTAACTGTCATAGATTGATGGGTGACGAATAAAAGGAAAACACAAACCTTGCTCCACACTACAGGTGGCCCTGCTATGGTTTGGACGGCACCTTGCTACTGTGGCTGTGAGGTGTTGTGAGTCGTCACCGTGACCCTTTCATGGAACATCTCTGTCCTGGTAGGAAGCCCCATAAGCATGAAATGATATGAATGCTCTTCTCTGGGATTTGCAGGTTTTTTAGCCAAACCGAAACTTCTGGAAGATCAGCAGGATGAATATAAAATCACCAGAAGAGGGAATATTTACTGGAAGAATGGAGTTCCATCACTCCAGCAGACCCACAGACATGGACCCAGTACCAGGCTTTTCCTGTCAGCTGTCTCTCTGATGTCTACAGTTCAATAAGTGATAATGAACATGTGTGTGTTACCAGTTTTATTGCTGAGTGAAATTACTGCATTTGCAGTGAAGTGATCTGAGTCTCACAGCAGCAGCGTCTCTGAAACATTGGTGGGTGTAACCTCATCAGGACCACCATTAGCTCTCAGCTTGTGGTCGACCCCCAGTGACGTTCATTAACTAATCAAAAACAAATTTGGTTCCTGCCAGGAGAAGACGATTTGTTTGCCCTGATGAGGACGAGTCATTGAATTCAGGAAATGATAATACGACAGATGAAACGTGTTCGTTTTCCTTGTTTATCCCTCAGAATCTGTGAATTTGATGCTGAAGCTAAAGCGAACAAGCAGCTTCTGCTGTGTTCAGCGTACACAGGTTTGCTAACAGTCATTCATGGTTCTCCCACTCCTAATGTGCACATCTGGCGCAGGATGACAGGCTTTGAAAACTCATTCTTCCACCCATCAAAGTCCAGCCTTCATACAACATAAAGCTCTGTCATCGGTGCATGTTGTAATTAATCACACCCGAGCCCTGTCTGCAGCACGACAACTACCTGACACACTAACCATGACATGCAACCTCCTCTGACACAAACTCAGGACAAACGTGTGCTTGAAGGCATGTTTGTACATTCAGTGCTTCCTCCTGAGAAGTTCAGTCAATAGAAGCATCACAGCCGCTCACAGGGGAGGAGCAGCTTCCTGCACGGGCCGGCCATCCTGCTGCTCTTTTCCAGCATTTTCTGCTGCCTGCTATAGGCTGCTCTGCCGCATCCTTCCAACCTGAATCAAGCCACCCCCCCACCTGCCCAACACACACACACACACACACACACACACACACACACACACACACACACACACACACACACACACACACACACAGCAGTGTTACTCTGCCTAATAATAACACACTCCTCTAAACAAGCCTTTTCTCTCAGATTCTCAATGAATTATTCACAGCCATTCAGAGCCGTCCCTGTAAACCCGAGAGTCCTCACTGCATCAGCAGAATGGATCCAGGACCAGAGCTGCGACGGGCGGCAGAGGAAGCTATAAATACCCCCATTCAGCACCCCTCCCTCATTCTCCCCCTCCTCACTGAGCAGCACTGCAGCCTCCTTCCTCTGGCTCGAACTCCTTTATGAGAGCGAGGCTCACCGGTTATGTCATCGCTCCCACTCCACGCAGCGTGGACGCCGCTGCTCACCCACTTTCTCTCAGCTCCCTGGTGCACATGTGCACAACTTACTGCGGCCCGACACAGTGCTGCACACACGAGAACAAGCACGCGCACACACAAACACACGAACGGTTCTCGGATAGACTCGGAGGCCGCTGAGAGCAGGAGCTGTCCGCGGTGCTGAACCTCTGACAGCCAGCAGCAGATTCAACTTTCACCCGCACCCCAAAGCCCAGAGCCGCCTGCACCTGCCCGCCTGTAGCACCTCGCAGGTCACGTGTTCACTCGGGTGTAGCCTAAATAAGCGCCTCCATCAACCCACCTTACACAGCTGGAAGTTTTCCGACACCAGCGTCTCCTGGACGTCGATCTCCTTCGGAGTTGGAGCCGCCGTGGGAGTCCCGGCCGCGCTGCCGCACGACGGAGAGCCCACAGTGGCTCCCGGGGAGGAGGTGGTCAGGCCGTCCAGCACCTTCCGGAACTTCTTCATTTCGTTCCCCGCGTGTCGGGCTCTGTTTTCAGGTTAGGGGTAAAGAGGTGAGCGGCACAGTGTCCACTGTCACGCGCGATCCCAGCGGTTTAAGCAGCTAAAGAAACAAAGCTGTGTTCCTGCAGCAGTGCCGGGGCACTAACAGGGACCCCCACCCCACCCCCGTCTCTCTCTCTCTCTTAGGTGCAATTTAAAAAGTCACAGAGGCTCCTCATCGTGCTCTCTGACGTTTGTCCACGTGAAACGAGCGAGTCCGTGGCACTCTGCTGCGAGGATCCCAGCCAACGTTGCAGATGCAGCTCACCTGTCTCACAGCAGAGCGCGAAAGGAACTACACAACTTCTGCATCCCGGAGGAACATGCGCTCCCGAGCCTGCAGACAAACCCGGGCAGCGAGCGGCGGCGTGCACACGCACATGTCACACGCAGGTGCACGACACCAAAAATAATCAGAGCAAAGAAGAAGTGAACTTTGCTCCTCCGCCCCGCCCTCCCCGAAAACCCCACAACACCGTGGCCGCCAACAACAGGAAGAGGAGCCAGCGGACGGAAGGCGCAGAGGCGCTGCAGTTAACCGAGGCTGGAGTCCTCTGCGAGGCCACAGAACACAGCAGTCAGCACGGAGGAGAAGGAGGAGAAACACGGACAGCCTGTTCTCGCGTGGATCGCGTGGGGCGGGCTCGGCGCGGTCTGTGGATCGAAGTGAAGCGGTGTGTAGTCTCGTCCAGCTGTTTCTCCCTGCAGCCCAGAGACCAGAGGCAGGAGCTGTCCGCGGTGCTGAAACACCACCACCACCAGCAGCCCCGCCCCCACCCACCCACCGCTCTCTCTCCCCTCTCTCTCCCCGCCTTCTCGTCAGTGATTGGTTGCCCGGCTCTGAAGCGGCGAGGAGCAGAACGATAAAGGAGCAGTTCACGAATCCCAGCAGGGCAGCCTCAGATCCGGTTAAACCGTCAGTCACTCCGGTGTCTCAACAGGAGCAGGTTTGAACTATTAATGTTTAAAAATCAAGATTTATTTTAACCTTTAAGGTGTAAATTACCTCAACATTCAGGTCACAGCTGCTGGATGTCAGTGAGGCTTTTAAAGCTGCTGCTTAAAAATGTTGGAGAGCTGAGGTGGAACATTTATTATTATTTATTTTCATCTTTCCCTGTGTGTTCATGCTGGTTTATGTCCTTTATAGAAATGGGTTTTGTCTCCTGTAACGTGCTTGATGTTATTAAACCACCGACCGGTTTGTTTCCACCACATTAATGTGTACACTACATTACATATGCACATACATGTGTTAAAATATTTAGTTTTATGAAAATCATCATCACCTTTATTTATAAAACATCCACAGCTGACACAAAGTGCTGTACATTGGAACTATATAATAAAATTACATAATATGTAAATAAAATCCAAATAAAAGAAAAAGTAAAATAATTAATTAAATCACTAATTTAATTACAAGAGAAACTAAGTGTCCCTGTGGTTAAAAGCCAAAGAATGAAGTGGGTTTTATGACGTGAAGGCTCCTCTCTAATCTGCAAATTATTCCATGATTTCAGTTCCATAAATGTTACTGAAACATGAAGCACCGACTGACGATGTGATGATGCTGATGGAGAAGTGCAGTAAAAAGTCCTTTAATATCTCTGGTTCCAGTTTGTTCTTGGTTTTTAATGGTGTGAATGTGATTTTGCATGTTTCAGTAACCAGAGCATCACTGAGAGTTCACACTGGTCCAGGAGATGCTCCCTCATCATGTCAGGTTTCTTTCCAAATTCTTACTTTAATTAGTCCAACAGGTCAGAGCTCTGATGTCACTGACTGCCTCACCCAGCTGCTAACAGGGACATCTGCCAGATATTTAGCTACCAAAACATCAAAGAATCAAAGGAAAGCAACTTCTCATCATTTCATACAATATTAAGCACGATGTAGTACAGTGGGGGGAGGGGCATGTTAACTATTAACAATGACAACAAATCTTCCTTCTTACTTACCTACCGTCCGTGTTGAACGCTGTGGTTGCGTAAGCACTTCCCTCAGCAGCCGCTGCCCCGGGCGACACTTGATGTTATTGAGTCAGCACGCGCACACGCTCGCCTCTGTTCTGCTCTCCAAAAAGCAGCGCTTTGTGAGCCCACGAGCTGTAATGGCCTCGAGATTCCTCTGTACGTGAATCTTTTATTCGTTTACGTTGAAAATATATAAACTGTTATGTTGTGACACAGGTTGGCGCGTGAGAGGCCGTAGAAGCTAAATGGCAAAGATGTGGCATAATTGGAATCGAATTGAATTGCTTTCACACGTGAAGTGCACACGAGCTCCACGGAGGCTCATTTTCAAACCCAATTATTCAGCTCTTAAGCACCTTTACTCAGCACTGAGCTGGGGTCATTTCAGCGTCCGCCGAACAGATCTGTGAAAAAGCCAAAGAATAAGTGTGATAACAAACACATCCTGTCAGCGTGGAGCACAAAACTGCAATGACTGCAGTGTGGTTCCAGAACAATGACATACTGGGTAAACTGGAATGCCTCCTCAGAAGTTCTAGTCGATCTTCCAAATGCACGCTAACAGGCCTGCTCCATCACCATGCTAGCCTGACTCATGTTTGCATTTTCCCAGCTTATTATCAAAAAAGTCTTCCTGGAACCACAGACTGTATACAGAAGATGGTCACTCACTGGTTAGGAGCTTTGACTGTTGCCAGTTTGCTGTTTGAAACCAGTGGACCTGAAACCAAGGAACAGCGCCCCCGTACGGCAGCGACCTGTCGATCACAAAATACCTTTTTAAAGCATCTCCTGTCATTTTTCTTCGTCTAATAGTCCTCATCGCTTACAAAGTGAACATGGTGTAAAAGTCAGTCCGGCCTGGGAGCGAGGTTCTAAACGTCACGAGAAAACTGCTTCCTGAGGTCAAACACTGTGAGCTGAGGGTCATTTTATACCAGAGCAGCAAAGCTCTGTGTAGCTCATTAAAACCACTGCTGACTGTAACTCAGGCTCAAACATCCCAAATACTCGAATAACTAACTCATTAATATCAAAAGGTCAAAGGTCAAGCTCATTTAAAGAGGCTGGTGTAAATCAAATGGTTCATAGATATTTGGCATCTTTGCTGGTCGCGGGGGCTCAAAAACAGCAGTCCGTGTAACTCACGTGTTCCTCGATACACGAGGACGCTGCCTTTGGGCTCTTTTCATGACGTGTCCTCCGTCTGTCCACGTAACGCTGCTGTAAGCTGCCCTCAAAGCGCTGCCATCGTTCCCCTTTAATGTGGCGTGTGAGGCAAATACAAAGAGATGGAGGCAGCAGAGTTTCTGTGTCCTGTTTACTGCACCTCGACTGACAGCCAATACATACAAATACAGAAAGTGATGTTGTCTCAGATTCAGAGACAACACTGTTTGCAAATGTGCATCCACGGGCAGCTTTGTTTTGGATGGCACATGGTAATTAGGCTGCTGGCTAATTTAGGGCCAGAGATAATTATCATCCTTCACTGAAGATTAGAAACAGAGGAAAAAATATTTAGCATTTAGAGAACATTTGCTGAAGACTGCTGATATGATGATGGTGGTATAAAAACCGTGCTGGATGAATTATTATTTATCAGTTACAAAGTGCCTCACATACAGCTCTGTCTTCATGAAATGAGATGAGCAGGATGCTACTGTGGAAAGACTCGTGTAAATCCTGCAGAAGCTTCGCTGCCGTGACTGTCTGAGGAAAAGCAGCAAGTGTGAATGTCTGACCTCTGCATCACAGGAGTACTTCCCCTCTGCTCCATCAGCTTCCTCTCACAGACGATCGGTGCACACTCGTTTTGAACAGCAATGTCACTAAAAGTCGATCCAAGGATCCATCAGCACCGTAAATGTTGAAATAAATAAATGAATGGATGGGATGTAGCATTAATATCATAAAATATGCACAGGATTAACTGGAAGCGCTGCAGCCGTCCCAGCAGCTTCGGGTTAAGAGACGGGGCGTTGTTGTCCTGCTGCGATCGGGAACTTTACTTCTACGAGGAGAAACAAGAGCATCGTAATGTGGAAACACCTGAGCTGTTGCCGAGGGCTGTGGAGCTTCATCGCCTCAGAGTCACTTCAGCAGTGAGCGCATGTTCCACTTCTCTGTTTTAAATTTTTGATGGTAGGCAGGGATGACCTTTGGTTTACATTTGGATCAAAGATTGGGCTTTTAAATTATTCACGTCTTAACCTGTATGTAGCATTTTAATGTTGCTGGGTGGTGCTAAGGTCAAAAAGCCTCATATAGTGTGGAAGCAAAATGATGGTGTCTTTCATAACACATGTAAAAACAAAGTAATTAGTGTAAAATGCACAAACCCTCCAGCTATGGTGTAGTAAAAAATTTGCATTAAATTAAATGGAAATTACAACGATATTTAATTTGAGGAGCTGGATTGAGACACGAGTTCAGCATCAAATGTTCGTTCAGAAACATTTCAGTGCCAAACAGGATGAACCACACTCCAGCAGGACTGCTTCATATTCACTAATAAATCTGTCCTCAATGCGACTTTATCATTTAATTACATGGTTACATAAGTGTAAAATGTTGCATTTGATTGAATCCGGTCAAATAATTAATGATTTCTGTTACATTTCACTCACATTAGTTTATTGAGGGTGAAGAATCCTTTCTGAGTGTTGACTGAACCGGACACGTTTGTCCTGTTAATCCTGCTGTCACGTCTCAGGAGCTGTTAAAGACTGGCTCACTGCTCGGGATCATGATTTACAAACTAGCAGCACTTACAGCCGAAACACTGAAAATCCTGCCGGCTTAGCTCCTCACCTTGTTCCAGGAAGTGCATTTGTATTCTGCGCGTGATCAGAGATGCAGCAGACCTGAGTCCTGGCAGCAGCGCATCACTGCGAAGGCTACATGCAAATTTCATACACTGCAAATTTATGAACCTCATTCACGGAGCGAGCCCGTTTGGTGCAGGAACATGAGTCGTACGCGGCTTCCTGTTTAACAGATGCTGCAAACACACCCTGAAAATCAGAACCTCAGGACGCACGTTCATATTTTGATAATTGCTGTCCAGCACCCACCGACAGTCCTCGGTGCCCCCGTCACCGCTGCCACCCACCCATCTGTGGAGTTACTTTAGCTCAATTAATACCTGCTGGGCACATTTGATAAAAGTGCACAGGAGCAGAGTCTAAAGGCAAAGTGAAGTCACAAAAAGATGTTTTTAATCAATTTCCAATTAAGAAGTCACCCCTATCTGTATGACCACTGGTAACAGAGTCAGAGTGGAGGAAGTGGGGGCCTGGGAGGTGGGGCTGATCCTACAGGGATTATTCATTTCCATATAAATGAGCTGGTAAAATCGTGGCTGTTTCTCAGGATTCATTACTGACCATGAGATGAACACGAGGAGAGGCCACGTTCACTTTTTAAAATTTTGCTTTCTTTACAGCTGATTGTGATGCTGATAAAACTGTTTGATTCTTCTCTCAGAGAGGGCACGCAGAGTGCAGATGCTGCTTTCTTGTAACAAGCTGGAGTCGAGCAGTTATTCATTACCCCCAAGCAAACACAAACCTTTAGTGGCAGAGATAACGAGAGTCACCGCGAGTCCAAGGACCCAGTGGCATTTTCTTGTGCTAGCTATCCACTTACATGAGTTTCAAGATTCTCTCTCGTTCTGTGTCTCATTCCACAAACAAACAGGACGCTGGTGGTTATTTCCTGAACCAGAAATAGCAAGATTATTATTTCAAATCTCCATCTATTTAATATTTAATAATCAAACACCCATAAAGTGCCATGCAGG